CCCTTGGGGCTACCACTTAGCCATTTCATCATCTTTTCACTTTGCCTGTCTTTGCCTCCAGTCTACTTGCAGTGAACATCGACACAGAATTTCAACGTTAACGTCTCAAACCCCCATTCATATGGTGTGTATTGCTCTCACGTTTTATCGAAGCCTTGAAAATAACATAATTATAGCAATGGAAAATCAAAACTGGGATGTCAGGCACCTTTGTTCTTCCACAGTCTGTCTGTTCCTGTCCTTTCCCCAGACAGTCCTCCTTTCTCAGGGAACAATCCTCTCTTTCTAATTCAGGGATTCTCTCCCCTCTCTCTCCAGCACAGGTGACCATATAAATTCCCCTCCCCACAAAAACTGTTTTTTACATTATTCAATAAATCACTGATCATCCCTTTCTAAAGTATCTACACTTGATTTGAATTCCTGATTTTGTTCCCTAAGAGCAATTGGTATGTCCTGGCTTTACATCCGACTGACTAAAAAGAGCAAAGGAGCATCTCTCCCAAAGACTCTCCCAAATGAGAGACTCCAAATGCAGCAGTTTTAGGATTAAAGTACAACTCTATCTGACCACAAAAATTACAACAGCTTTTTTTTTTTTTTTTGAGACAAGATCTCACTCTGTTTCCCAGGCCAGATTACAGTGGCATCATCATAGCTCACTGCAACCTCAAACTCCTGAACTGGGCTCAAGTGATTCTCTTGCCTCAGCTTCCGAAGCAGCTGGGACTACAGGTGCAAGCCACCATGGCCGGCTGATTTTTCTATTTTTTTGTAGAGATGGGGTCTTGCTCTTGCTCAGGCTAGTCTCAAACTCCCGACCTCAAGTGATCCTCCATCCTTGGCCTCCCAAAGTGCTGGGATTATAGGCATGAGCTATCATGCCAGGCCCAACAACAGCTTTTAAATGTGTGTGTGTGTGTGTGTGTGTGTGTGTGTACAACACCAGTGACATGGTTTCTCACACATTATGTCTTTGAAGGCTATATGAGATCATTTAAGTGATGACATAAGCACATAATTCTATGCAGATATAAACTGTTGGGTAGTATCTAAGGCACTTTAGAGAAAAGACTTACTGTGTCATACATTTTATTAATATTTTCCCGGGCTATCTGGTTAGAAGGTGTAGTAGTTCTTAGACATGGCCACGAGATGGCAGCAACTATACATAATTGCTTCCAAGTAACCACAGTCCTGTTTTTCTGATCTGGGCAAGAGGCAGGAATCTAGGAGTTGTTGGCAGACATAGGCTGAAGATATTTATCTTTTATTTTTCCCTCAAATAAAGAATTCATTCTTCTCTTTGACCAGGATAACACCAAATTTATCCTACTGCAATCTTTCCCCCGTTTTGCTATTCTAATAATTCTGGGATTTTATTACTCTAATTAGCTAAAAATGATCCAGTGTGAGACCAGGTTGGAAACTCAGGAGTGACTGGCAGCTCTGTGTGCTGTACCAGAAGTCAATTAACTTCCTTTGTAGCTTCAAAATTCCATCCAAGGCCATATTTAGCCTTCCTTTGAATGTAGAAAGTTTATTTGTGCCCCACGCTATCCCTTAATAACTATTGGGAAACCAGGATTTGTTTTCTCTGTGTCATCTTTCATTCTTTGTCGAATGCTCCGTCTGCATAGCCATTGCACGTCTGCACGCAGAGTGCCGTGTGCTGTGCTGCTCACGGCCTCGCCCCGTGGAAGGTAGAGGAGAGCTAAAGAAATCTTTAGTGAAGACAGGGGCAATAATCAGTAGATGGGAGAGGTTTTTGTGGGAAGAGAGATCAAAAATATATGAGGACGCTTAAGCCTGGAAAAAGGAAGTTGAGAGAGACTGTGATCAAAGTCTAGAAAAGTCCTGTAAGATTAAAACAGAAGGTTGAAAATGATAAATGAAATAAATGAAAAATCTGCACCTGATTATTAAGGAGAATGAGAGGTTTATGGGGGGCAGATACGCTCTTCCACAAATTTGTCATTGATCCCACTGTGTGTGAGATGGAGAATGGCTGATGGGACGTGGTAGAATGGCATGAATATTTCCTTGGCCTCACTGGACTCTTGTTTTCTCTCCTATACTGTCAACACAGAAGGGAGATTTTACATGCATGTTTCTCTGAATCACCAGTTTCATGGAACTAACACACCACTGAAGGCTAGTTTAACTTCTTCCTAGAGCAGAGATCCCTCTACAATATCCCTGCCAGAGAGTCAACGTCTTTCTGCTCTTTGAAAGGTAATACAGAGAACCTACTCATAAGGCAGCTCATTCTATTCTTGGCTCTAATAATTAAATCATTCTTCTTTCTGATAAAATCAAGGTGATTGCCTTTTTACTTCAGCCCCAAACTTCTCAAGTTCTACCAGAAATGACATCTAATAATTTCTCATGCCCTCTTCTGCGTTAGAGTGCCTTAAATAATCGTACATGGCCATTTTGTTACACGATCTTCTTGCAATCAGGACTAGAAGTTGGCTTTTCTTTTTTTTTTCGAAACAGAGTCTTGCTCTGTTGCCTGGGCTAGAGTGCTGTGGCTTCAGCTTAGCTCACAGCAACCTCAAACTCCTGGGCTCAAGCGATCCTTCTGCCTCAGCCTCCCGACTAGCTGGGACTACAGGCATGTGCTACCATGCCCGGCTAATTTTTTTTTTCTATATATTTTTAGTTGTCCAGCTAATTTCTTTCTATTTTTTAGTAGAGACAGGGTCTCACTCTTGCTTAGGCTGGTCTCGAACTCCTGACCTCGAGCCATCCTCCCGCCTCAGCCTCCCAGAGTGCTAGGATTACAGGTGTGAGCCCCTGTGCCCAGCCTAGAAGTTGGCTTTTCATAATAAAATATAACCTGACCATAGAGTTGGGGAAGCCAAGCCAGATTATACAGCTGCATTATGGTGGTATTGGGAAGGAACCAGCCTGCCATCCACCCACCCATCCATTTATCCATTCAGTAAACATCTGCTGAATTGCTAATAGGTACAAGGAACTCTCTTAGGTTCTGCTGATAGAACAAGGAGTTAAAAACAAATCCAAATTGTGTCGAGTTTATACTCTCATGTAGGAGGTAGGTTTTGTTTTCTTAAAACCAAATAAATGAAGTAATAAACCGAGATAAGTACTCTGATGGAAAGGGAGATGGTTCTTTGAGGGCTTGTGTCAGAAGAGCCTTAACAGAAGCCGGGATTTAGAACTGGTATTGGTCAGAAGAGGTTTCCCCAGGGAAATGACGCTGGAGCTAAGCTCTGAAAAATGCATGGGAGTTAAAGATGTCTTCAGTGAGAGGGAACACTTTGTGAAAAGGCCCTATGGCAGCAGGTGTTGACTCGCATGAGGACTTGAGGGAAGGCCAGTTTGGCCAGAGTACAGAGAATAGCTAGAGGACAGTATGAGATCCCTGACAGATAGACAATGCAAGGCCCTGTAGAACATGATTAGAAGTCTGTCTTTGTTTTAAGAGAAATCAGAAGTGATTAAAAGTTTTAAGCAGGAGAGTAATGCAATTTGCAATTTGAAGCGAACCTTCTGCATTCTGCATTTGGAGGGTCCACTTTGGCTGCTGGGAGAATAACTATTGCTACAGATCAGGAAGAGATAATGGTAGCTTTGATTAGCTTATACAAATGGACATGAAGGGAAATATACTGAATTGAAATGTGGAAGGAAGAAGCATTAAGACTTAGTGATAGTTTGGAGATGGAAGTTTGATGAATAGGCATTATCAAAGAGGGTGCTTTGATTTCATTCAAATAATTAAGGTTTCCTGAGTAAAATATACATATGTCTGTTGTACACATGTATATACACACATTATACATGTATATACACACATTATACATGTATGCATGCATAGATGTATATATCTGTGTATTATTTTTATTGTAGTATATCACAAATACACAAAGTATACAAATCTGAAGAGTAGAGCTCAGTACATTCTTAAAACCTAAATATACCACGGTGCACAACCATCTTGGTTCATAAATGGAATATTATTAGTACCCTTGAAGTCTCTTTTGTGCCCCTGTCAAAACTCATTGTTACAGATAGCTATGATCTTGAATGCTAACACCACAGATTCATTTTACCTGCTTTTGCACATGAAAGGAATTATACAATACAAAGTACTTTGTTTCTGTCTTCCTTTTTTCAAATGGTGTTAGCAAAATTCCATCCATGTTGTACTTTGTAGCAGTAGTTTATTCATTTTTGCTACTATATAATATTCCATTTACTGGATAATTATA